TGTATGAATATCTGAGTTAAAATGCTTGAGTTAATATGAGTTGTGTTTGTTGACTGTGGAGGAGATGTACCAAAGTTTATTTGTGATCGACTGATACACTTTCTATAGATGTAAAGAAAGATGTACTTGTTTCAAATTAAAATTTAAAAAAAAATTCATAAAAAAAAAAGAAAAGAAAAAAGAAAATGGCAAGCGTGGTCACCTCATGGCTGCTGCTGTGTTGCAATATTTTCAGGGAGGGCTTATTTTAGCACATGCGCTCAAAAGTCCGATTGGGCTTATTATCTGGAGAGGTCTTATTTTCGGGGAAACAGGGTATTGGTCAATCTCATAGATTCTTGAAACTATCACCACCTCTCAGCCTCACTGTAACACAAAGTATTCTTTTATAGGTAGCAAATACACAAGAGATGAAACTGTAGAATGTGCTTAGGAAATGTAGAAATTAAGGTATTATTCTGCATCATTTCCATGCAATATTACTATCTTATCATTTATTATATCATCATCAAACTGGGCATTTTTAAGCTTGGATCATCACCTTCAACACACAACAGAGAAAGGTGGCCGTGGAGCTGGATCTTCTTACCCAAGAATCCCGCTGTAGGCATTCCACCTGAAAGTTTGCTCGTGTTGGGTGACGTTATAAAATGGGCAGAACTCGTATTTATACCTAAAATTTCAAAATAAGTCAGTTTTATTTCCAGTTTTTAGAAGGCAGCGATTTTTAAAATGCACGTCTACGGTAATTAAAAAAACTTACGTAGATTCTACGTAACCAAAGCATTTGCCCGCCAGCCTAAAAAGATGCTCGGGCCCTGGAAAAGGAAAGCGGTTTATATCCGATCAGGGATTTCGCAAAATGCCGGGCTCGGAATGACGCCTGGCGGTTGGGAGGCCCTGCAGCCCCGGACCCTCGCCCCGCCCGGCTCACCTGAGATAGGGGAGGGCGCCGCTTTGGGCTGGAGCCGGTTGGACGGAGGCAGGAAGGGGTTGTTCAGCCTTCTCGGGAAAGGGAGACAGAAAGACAAGCCTTCAGAATCGCGGAGAGCGGGGACCAAGCGCCGCCGCCCCGCCCAGGCCCGCCGCCGCCTCACCCGAAGCTGTTGGGTTCCTCCACCACCTTCATTTTCCCGGCAGCCGCGAGTCCTGGAAGGCGAGAGAGAGAGAGAGAGCGCGAGAGAGACGGGCAGCCACGGCGGAGGCCACGGTAGCGCCTCGGGGGCAGGACGGGCACCTCCTCACCTCCCGCTAGCAGCGGCAGCAGCAACGACCAGAGGAGCCGGGGCGGCCGCCGCCTCTTCCCCGCGGGGTCCCAGGCCGCCATCTTCGCGTCCCCGGAAGCGGCGGGCGTTCCCTTCCGGAGTCGCTCCCTGCGATTGGCCGACGGTGGGCGGAGCCTTTGGCTGCACCGGAACAGCGGGAGATGGGCCGGGGGCGGCGGCGGGCGAGGCGAGCGGGCGGGGAGCTGTCCCTGGAGACCTTACCGGAGGCGCTGGGCGGTGAGGGCGCGGCGGGCGGCGGGGGCGGGCGGTCTCCTAACGCTCCCTGACGCGCCTCCTTTTCTCCGCAGGCGCCTTGGAGGATGGCGAAGGCGGGGGAGGAGAAGAGGCGGGGGCCGCGGCCGGAACGCAGCGCCGCCTGTGCCCGCTGGCCATGTGGGACCTGGGCCACTGCGACCCGCGGCGGTGCACCGGGAGACGGCTGGCGCGGAAGGGGCTGGTGCGGACGCTCCGCCTGGGGCAGCGCTTCGGCGGCCTGGTGCTCAGCCCCGCCGCCGCCCGCTTCCTCTCGCCCGCCGACAGGTGAGCGCCGATTGGCTGCTGTGGGGGGTTCTTCGCCTGCTAGAGGAGCCCGGTGGAGCGGATGGGCTAATGGCCCAACGACCGATACCTCCCGGACCCTTTGCTGGTTAAGCTTCAAGCGGTCCCGGCTCCCTTGGCAGCTCCACGCCTGAAAACCCCGGGGAAGCCCCTGCGCTGGCTCCGCCAATCGGCTTTTTGTTCCAGGTTCCTGAAAACTTTCTGAATTGCACAATCAGAATCTAAACATTTGTTATTGATTTTAAAATATTTGAGTTTTTGTAATGTTGCTTTCATGGTAGGGTGGCAGCTTTTCAACCACTTTTCTTCTGGCAGCCTGCAAAATTGATCTGATTTCCTGACAAGGCAGCAAAACAGAAATATCCTATATTAAAACGGCAGGTGTATTTTCAGGGAGGTTGTATCCCAGAATGGAGTTGCGGTGATTGACTGCTCTTGGGCAAAGCTGGACAAAACACCATTTAGCAAGATGAAGGGAAGTCACCTCCGCCTGTTACCCTACTTGATAGCTGCGAATCCAGTGAATTATGGACGGCCATACAAACTTACTTGTGTGGAAGCTTTTGCAGCTACCCTGTGCATTGTAGGTGAGCTGCAATAAATATTGTTTGGATTCCTTATCTTTCAGATTAGAATAATAATTATTTAAGTTGCTCTGCGAAGCATCATTTCTTTTTATTTGTTGCATTGGTTTATTACTGATCCTATCCAAGATGCTGGGTGGTTTATAAATATAAAGTAGACAGAAATATAAAATGCCATGATACATAGACTACCAAAGCACAAGTCTTGGCCCATGGATAAAATCTCAAATTCAAAAGCTTCATATATAAGATTCTTTTAGTAACCTTGACTGAGAAATATATTTCACCAGTAAGATATGCAAATTACTGAGTGTTTGATCATTGCTGAATGATAATTTTCCTTATTTTAGGACTCTCTGATATAGCCACAGTTCTTTTGGGAAAATTTAAATGGGGAAAAGTGTTTCTTGATCTGAACAAAGATCTCCTGGAGAAATATGCAGCATGTAGCTGTGAAGAGGAAGTTTTAAGTGTTGAGAATGAATTTCTGAACCACCCCCAAGAAAAAGATGAAACAGGTATGACATCCCAAGGTTTTTGTTTTGTTTTTTTAGCTTCTTAGAGAAAAAGAGATGGAATTGAATTGGCAAATTAGTGATGCTTTTATCAAAATTTTAAAGTAAACTTAAATATTTGGGTCTAGATAAAGAGAGGAAGAAATCACTTAAACATACATGGGGGATAAATAGTCCACATTAATTGGACATATGTCCAAAATAAAAGGGACACAGTGAATCAGTGTCTAAGATGCTGAGTTTGTCGATCAGAAAGGTTGGTGGTTCGAATCTCTAGCACCGCATAACAGAGTGAGCTCCCATTACTTGTCCCAGCGTCTTCCAACCTAGCAGTTTGAAAGCATGTAAAAATGCAAGTAGAAAAATACGTACCACCTTGGTGGGAAGGTAACAGTGTTCCGTGCGCCTTCAGCATTTAGTCATGCTGGCCACGGAGACGTTTTTGGACAGTGCTGGCTCGTCTTTGAAATGGAGATGAGCATCGCCCCCTATAGTTGGGAACGACTAGCATATATGTGCAAGGGGAACCTTTACCTTTTTATCTTTATATGTCCAAAATATGACAAATGGTCATTGGTGCCTTGATTAAGAACTCTATTATAAATAAATAATAAATATAAATAATTAAAATAAAAATAAATCATTGAATATTGATTTGAATCATTGGTTTATTTTTTATTTTATTTTAATTATTTATTATTATTTATTCTGATTAACATTCCAAGAAATTTTGATGTAATGAGAAAAAGTGAGGAATCTTTCAACCATAATCCATGAGAAGTAATCATAATGGTGAACAAACAGTGTGGATTTCTTAGTGGTATCAAGCAGCCACAATAAATGTCATTAATGCTGTATCTGTACTGATATATTCAATATATTTATTTTTTATTTTATTTATTTTGCTATCCACGGTATCCTCAGCAGTTTTGTCCAACCCCAAAGTTCAAAGGCTCCAAAGCTCTTCCTATTCTGCTTCTTTAAAGTTTACCTTGGCCTGTCCCACTCACTCTGTTGGATACCTACTAACCGAGCAGGGTGCGAGAGAAGAGCCTTTTTCTGCTCTGGCCCCACCCTTGTCTCTCACCTGATGTGACATCGGCCCCTGCACTTTCCGAAGAGCCTTAAAATCTGTCTCTGCTGCCTGATCTGTTGCTTGCCATATTACAGCAGGTCTTCTGTCAGCAACTGTAGCCTTCCAACTTGATAATGACTGGACCACTAATCTAACTTCATGCTCTAGGACTAGAGGTTCTTGTAAAGTACGGAAGATTTTCTAAACAGTCTTGGATATTGACATGTCTACTGCACAGAATTCCATTATATGCCTCCCAACATTACAGTCCATTGTCACACTAGTTTAAGGTCAGAGCCTCCTGCTGAGATCTTTTGAAAGACTTCCCTTGCTTTCCGTGTCTGATTCCCTTTTCAGTGCCTTTACAAATGCTGCTGCTTGTTTCTTCTAACAGCTTTCTGAATCCCTATGTTGAGTTCCTTTCTGAGATTTTTGTTACCTTTCCTGCCTTTGGCTCCTGTTCTCTTGGGCAATTTCCAGTTCGTTCTAACATCCAGTTTGCTTTCTTCCTTTTCAGCAGGCTCTTTTCACATTCATCCTTAACAAGTTATCTAAATTCATTCCATGTTTTTCTAGTTCTCTGTCAAAGAAGATCAGGGTTTCAAAGCAATTTCTGATGGGCATTCAAGATTATATTATGGAAGCTGACTGAATTTCTTCTTCTTTAGGTTAACTTGGAGCTTGCACACAAGCAATTTGTGATTTGTGACAGTGTGATGTGTTCCATTGTCAGCACCTGTCCATCTCTTTGAGACTAATTGAGCTTCTCCACCTCTTTTAGTAATAATAGAATCAATTTGATTTCTATAGCAATAGCACTTATATACCACTCCATACCTACTACTTTACAGCACTCCCTGGGCAGTTTACAATCCTTGTATTCAACACCATCATAATTTTGCAAGTTAAGGACTATTTATATATATATATATTTTTTTTATTAAATGTTTTTTAAGTTTTAGTTTAAAACTGGTACAACATCTTTCTTAATATATCAATCAATT